GACCACGATGAAGAAGGCTTGGTTTCCAAGCAGTCAAGGATAGGGCAGGAGGGGAGAGACATCATCATTATTCCAATTTTTTAGCATCCTTCTTGAAGTGTGGTGTCCAGAACTGGACACAATCCTCAAGGCAAGACCTAACCAGTGCTAAATAGAGGGGGACCAGCACCTTGCGGGATTTGGAAACTATACTTAATAGTTGATATTAATGTAGCCTGAAATAACATTTGCCTTTTTTGTAGCCACATCATCACACTGTTGGCTCATATTTAGCTTGTGATCTACAACAATGCCAAGATCCTTCTTGCTCGTAGTTTTGCTGAGCCAGGTATCCCCCATCTTGTAACTATATATTTGGTTTCTTTTTCCAAAGTGCAGTATTTCATTTTGTTGTTTTCAGCCCAGTGTTCCATCCTATCAAGGTCATTTTGAATTTTGTTTCTGTCTTCCAGGGTATTAGCTATTCTGCCCAATTTACAGTAGTATCTTCTGCAGATTTGACAAGCATTCCCTGCACTCCCTCATCCAAGTAATTGGGCCCAGGACAGAGCCTTGGGGTACCCCACTAGTTACCTCCTCCCAGTTACAGAAGGATCCATTAATCTTCACCCTCTGAGAATGATTCTGTAGCCAATTGTGTATCCACCTGACACTTGATCTATCTAACCCACACTTAGTTAGCTTGCTAATCAGGATATCATGGAGAACTTTGTCAAAAGCTTTGCTGAAGTCAAGATATACTACATCTACAGCATTCCCTCTATCTATCAGGGAGATGACCTGATCAGAAAACAAGCTCAAATTAGTTTGGCAGGATTTGTTCTTGACAAATCTGTGTTGGTTTCTAGTTATTATTGCATTGTTTTCTAGGTCCTTGCACAATAACCTCTTTATGATCTGTTTCAGAAATTTCCCTGGGGTTGATGTCAGGCTGATTGGCCTGTAGTTCCCAGGTTCCTCTTTTTTTGCCCTCCTCCAATCCTCTGGCACTTCCCCCATTTCCCATGATTTCAAGAAAATAATGGATAGCGGTTCCGATAGTTCATCTGGCCCTGGAGATCTGAACTCAGTCAAGGTGGTAAGGTATCCCTTGATTATTATTTTTATCAATCTCCAGCTGCAATCCTGCAATCCTATTTCTCCCCACACACTTCGAATTTGTTTGGAAGTTTATAGTCTTATGGGAAAAGACGGAACTAAAATATAAATTGATCCCTTTCCTTGTTCTCTGTTATCGTTTTACCATCTCCATTATGGAGTTGTGCCACTATATCTTTTGTTTGTCTTTTGCTACTCACATACCTGAATAATGCTTTTTAATTGCTTTTAGTGTCTCTAGCTTATCTCAGCTCATTCTCAGCTTATGCCCTCCTAATGCCATCCCTGCATTTCCTTGCTACTTGTCTGTACTCCTCCTTGGTGGCCTGGCCTGGCCTCCCTTCCACTTCCTGTACATGTATTTTTTGCTTTTTAGGTCCTCCCTGAGCTTTTTGTGAAGCCAGATTGGCCGTCTCCCACCTTTTTTCTTGTTGGAATTGTTTGTTGTTCTGTGTTTAGAATTTCTTCTTTTAGAAGCTCCCACCTGATGCAGCAGTGAAAGCCAGCTTTCTTGTAGCTGAAGAAATCACCTGAGCTTCAAAGTGCTTTTCAGAAGGTGCAGTGTATGCTGAAGGCATGCAAACAGTTGTGCCCTGAGCAGAGACAGGCTTTTAACAATGTCAGCTGGTGAAGAAACACTACCGCAGCCCAAATCAGGGAACTTGCACGTAATCTGTCAACACAGCTGGCTGAAGAAGCAAGTATTTATCTGGCATTTTCATTAGCCATGGACAAAAACATTGACAATACTGATACAGCTGATCTAGCCACTTTTGTAAGAGGCATGAGGGCAGACTTATCCATCAGTGAGGAGCTCTTGGATGTGGTCACTGGGAGGGGCATCATCAATACAGTGGAGGAGCCTCAAAGTAAAATGAAATTGCCTTGGAAAAAGTTGGTGGGGCTTACTACTGATGACACACCTGCAGTGTGTGGACAAAGAACTGGCTTGTTTGGACTGTTGAAAGAGAAAATGCAGAAAAGTAACTGCCACACACCTCTAATAACTTAGCATTATCCACCAAGAAACTCTGTGTGGCAAGATTCTGAAACTGGATAACAATGACCAGTCACGAAAACTGTGAACTTCCTTCGTGCTCGGGGCCTTAATCATCATCAGTTCCAACCGTGGGCACAGAATATATGGATGTGCCATACCATACAGAAGCAAGGTGGCTGAGTAGGAGCACCGTTCTCAAGCGATTTTTTTAGCTTTTAAAAGAAATTGCTCTTTTCATGCAAAGTAAAGGGAACTGTCAGAGCCAAACTGGCTATGTGAATTTGCCATGCTGTGTGACATAACAGAGCATCTTACCCAGCTGAATCAGAGGCTGCAGGTACATAACGGCAATGTATGATGCAATCACAGCTTTTCAGGAAAAAAAAATGCATCTATGGAAGTCCCAGCTTGAACAAGGCAGTCTTTCCCAATTTCCTGTCTGTCAGAATAACCTCATTTCTGGCTACTTTTTCATGTGCTGGATTGGCTACCAAAGTGGATCGGCTGATTAATGAATCTGATCAGCACTTCTCTGACTTTAAGGAACAGCACTTAACCTTTACCAACTTTGCCAGTCCTTTCACTATCAATGCTGACAGCGCACTACATCACCTTCAGATGAAATTAATAGAACTTCAGTGCAACAGTAGCCTGAGAGTTAAGTTCCAGGATGCTGTAATCGAGGATTTTTACCACCACAGCTCTGACTTGAAGTTGCCCGTTGTGGCGATCTACAGGTACCTTGTAGCCCCTGTTTACTTGGCCCTCACAAGGGATCACGCCCTATTTCCTTCACGCTGCCACCAATTATATTATACACGTGTGCTGCCAACACTAAGGGTTATTGAACTTAGGAATCAGAGGTTTGACAAACATTCTTTTATTGTCAAGTAAATCATAAAGGTAAATCACATATGAACTGTATTAACAAGGATTGGATCATGTAAGCAATCATTTTTATTCCAAACTTCTATATACTTTCAATCAATATTGTGCTTATAATTTCATTCCTGCTTGTTCAATACTGTTTATCCTTCTCAATTACCTCTCCTAGCATTCTCAGCTCAATTCACCAACCCACTCCTTCTCTCTCCTTTAGGACTCCTAACTGCCATTCCACATCTCCAACTGTCTCTCTGACTCCCTGTCTCTCCCCTTCTTGGCTGCTCCCTCTTGAGCTTCTGTGATGGACAGGCAGGAATGACGTCACCTGTTGGCATTTCACTACACCCGTCTTCTGCGAACGAATGTTTTCAGTCATGAATCTGAACAAGACCAAGCATAGATGATCCATCACCAATGACAACCTCCACACTGTTTTACGGATTGCTACTGCACAAGACCTAAAGTCAGACATTGACGGACTGACCTCAGAAAAACTGTGTCAGCTATCTGGTCAAAAAACAAATAATTTAAAAAAATATTTAGGCATATACAAAATCACAAAATGTATTTCCTATAAGTACAATGTAACAATGTTTGCATTCTAGTTGTTGCTCTTTCATTTCATTTGTTTTGTGTTTGTTATATACAGAAATTGATCAATGGATGAGGAAGCTGTTTGATATCACCATATCAAGGTGAGGTGGGATCTACTTGTACAGGGCCAGGCAACATAACCTTATCAACTTTATATGCCACAGATTGCAGCCTGAATCAGCAGATTGATTTCCATGTTCACCTTTTTCCGCCGCAGCAATTATTTGTTTTGTCATAGTTCTCCCTGTCTCAGCTGGGACCAAACAGTTAAAGAACGTTAACATAATAAACAGTGCTTGGTAATATTTGATGATTTAAAAAATATCTTTGTTACTAAAACTTACTTTTCAATAAATTGTACAATAGTTGTACACTTGAATATCTGCTTGCCATTATTTCTAGACTTTGATAACAGGCGTTTACTTTCAGAGCTAGTTGTTACATTATTACTAAAACCAGTAATAATTTAATGAGGAGTATATTTAATATGATAAAGAGTAGATACATTTATATAGTCTTACAGATACAACTGGCCCTTTGAGTGCAACCATAATGCTGATGTGGCCCAAGATGAAATTTAGTTTGACACCTCTGAGCTAAACATAACAGAAAAAGGTAGTTTTTAAAAAACTGTCCAGTGTGATTTTGGGCTGTATCAACAAAAGTAAAGGTAAATTATTTGGTTAGATCTCACCTGGAATATTGCATCTAGTTTTGAACACAGTCATTTTAAGACAGATGACTGTCAAGGGAGAGCAAAAAAATAACATGAGCTGCATGGAGAGCAAGTTTTATGATGAAAAGTTATGTTGAAAGGTTATGTTGGTTATGAAGAAGTTATCACAAAATCTTCCATTTGCCAGGCCCCCAATAAATCAGATCCAGAGTTTAAAAAAAGTGGATTGCAAACTTTAGAAATTCCTGGTGGCATTAGCAATGGAATTAACTGGTTGCATTTCTTCTGTGAGAGAATTTTAAGCAAAGAGTTCATAATTATCCATCACCAATGCTGTAACAGATTTCCTGACTCTGCTGCTAGGATTCTAGGAAGACAGGAGAAAAGAAGCTACATGCTTCCTCTGTGGTTCTTAATTCAGAGATTCAACAAGGAACAACAATAAAACCAAGCAGGGGTAGAATCAAGGAGAAGGAAACAACACAGATCTTTAATGATGAAACTGAATGCCTTATGATAAGATGTCTTTAAAGGCAGTCCCATAAAGTTGAGTCCTGACTTTTTAAGGGTTTTTCCAATTCACCGCTATCCACTTTTATTTTCTAGCAGTGCACAGGTTAGTAAGTCCACTTTTTTTCAGGAAATGTCTCAGAAAAAATTGTCCGTAGATGAACTGTGCAGACCATTCAGCATTCCCCACAATCCCAGAAGCAGCCTTGCCTACAAATCACACTTCTCATGTAAAAATAATTGTTAACGTAATTTTAATGTATAAAATAAAAACATATAATTTGCAAACAAGTTTATTATATATACAGAATTTCAATGCATTTTCCTGCAGTCACCTGCTTTTAACAACATTAGGGCCCTCAGGACAATGTTCTTTTTCACATAAATTTGATAGATTCAGTGTTAAAAGAGATGTGGAAACAGTAACATAATCCCAATTACATTAGTAAACACTAATAATCTTTGAGTCTTCAAAAGTTATATAGACTCAAATATATTTTATTTATCATTTCACAAGGCAGTTGAAGCCTTTGGGTACTGAGAGATCATGGAAACTTCATTAATATGCAAACAGAAATTAAGGAAAAATACTGGTGTTTTTTCTTTCATTTACACTTAATTGTGCAGTGAAGCATCTTGGTGCCAGCTATCTTAATACTGCTTGAAAATAAATCAAGCCAAATAAATTAACAGACCATTATTGGGAAAACCGAACAACAGCACCAAAAAAAATACTATTTTTTATATTCCTACTCTCCCATTTTTGTTCCTCCTATAATTTTATTTCCTCCTCAAAGGTGTTTAAAACCATAGAAGCATATCTAGAGCAACAAAAGCCAAACAAAATACATACTGCTTGATGTGGAGATCACCTGAGAGCCTAGCTGCAGGACAAGTGCCTTTATGCAACATGTTCTTGTCAGTTCTCTTCATTGGCAAGAACTGGAGAGAAGCACATGAAATCACACCAGTTGTAGTGGCGCCATTCCAACAGACTTGTACATCTTTCAGTTCTTAAATGCTCCATATTTACTGGCTTTAGCAATGAATTCCTTTAGCAGAGAACCATCCATTTGCCAAAAAGCTGCAGTTTGAGTGACTTCAGTCAAGTGATTGACACAAAACTTAAAGCAGAATTCTTCTAAATCCTAGACACAAAACAAAGTTTTAATTAACTTTGCTGATAATGAAAACGATGCTGTTAGTTTGCGGTGTTTGTGTTTTGGTATTCACAATTTAAAAACATGTTATAGTAGAATCGAGGCTTGCAGAGTTTAATTGTCTGCACTAGAGGGACTAGTATGTCTTCTGCCACCCCCTCAGATTTCCTTGTTCTCTCTGAGCTTAGCTACAATCCTCACAATAGAAGGGAAGGGCCACATAGAACTAGTTTACCGACTCAAGGATCAAATCCATTTTGAGACCCAGCTAGAGTACACCCATTAAAATCAATGGGATGTATTAATTAACAAATCTCACTCATTTCTGTGGTCCATTCAAAATTTAGTTTTAGTTCAAAGTCCTTCTCCCTAGTGCTGGAGGGAGGGACCCTCCTGGAAAATCCTCAGTGAATATAGATAGAGGGGGGGAAGGAGGGTGAGACATACAGAGAAAGAAGTGGATCAATACAATTTCTGACAGTTTTGGATCTGTTTAGGGGTCTCAGTGTCAAACCACTGAGACTGTTGAAAAGGTCCCTTTACTTCAAAATGTAATATACTGTTGCTAAGCCATGGTAAATATAGCATTGCAACATTGAGTAATCAAGACTTAATGAATATTTTTCAGATCAGGCGTACTGCAACTCTTCCTTCCACCCACAACCAAACAATATGGGATTTCCCCCCTACCAATATGTCACAAATGCTTTCTTCTAACAGAGGCAGATTTTGATATTTTATTGTTACACCAAATGATTGGTTTGTAGTTAGTACAATTTTCAGTTCATATATTCTCTTTACAATACAAATATTTTAGAGGCTTCCAAAGTGATACTGTATAGTAGAGGGGACATGCTTTTATCCCCTTGACCCAAATGTTCAAGGTGATCTTGACACAGAAAATGAAGTCAGGGAAAAATTAAGAGAAGAAAATATTGCAGTAATTGTTCCCTTCAGTTACACCCACACAGATAGGATAAATGTGTGCTCTGTTTGTAACAAAGGTAAATCTTCTGTATGCTACATGATGATGTCCTTGAGCAGCTGGCCATGGAATCAACTGGAAAGGAAGTGACTCTAGCTCTGATTTTAAGCAGCACCCAGGATATATTGCAAGTGTTCTTTACAGTTACTGAATCATTTAGAAACCATGACCACAGGACAAATTTAAAACTTAATTTAAAAGTAAAAAGTGCTATTCCATTTGAGTTTAAAAGAAAAAACTCTCTAAAATAAATTGAAAGGCGAAAAGGAGGTTCCAAGTGCTTGAGACCACTCATTGTGGTCTCTCCACAATGTTTGGGGCTTCATTAATATCACAATAGAAGTTCAGAATGTCTACTGCAGGTCAAGAAAGTGTTACAGAAATTAGAAAATATATTGATCTTTTTCTTTTCCAATAGTGAGTTTCTTTAAAAGCTTTATTAGCTTCAGAAACTCAGAATCAGCATTCTTTAAAAGTAATGCCTCCCAAAACATTGCAGCTGGGGGGAAATTGTCTCCTTCACCTACACCAGGAGTCTAAAAGGCCAAGCAAAGGTAAAGGGTGAAAGGTAAATCCTTCCAAGAGAAGAGCTGTGTCAGCATTCCAATGCATTACACCAGATGCAGCATGTGAAGATGGGGTGACCATATTTACAGAATGCCCTTGTTTGACTATTGTCCAGAGTGACAAAAAGGGTTATCAAGGCTATGCTTGTGCCACCTCAAAATAACAACAGTAACAACAACAGAACACATATGTAACTCTACATCAGGATTGCTTGCAGAAAATCAGAAGTTGTTCTGCTGTCACCAGCATTAAACAACTAGCTTTGTTTTGGGAAGAATCCTATATAGTATGTATGCTCTTCTGTATCAAATTGAGCTGCTCGTATTTTTGTTCTCAGAACAAAGAGCTCTGTCTTGCAGGACTAAGTCTTTTAAATTAACCTCTTTTCCTATTTGCAAATTTATTGTGTGGGTTCTCTCCAATTCTTTTCTCTTCCATTTCAAAAAATATGTTGCACAGTTGGAGAGGCTGTATGAAAACGTGCAATAAAAGCTGTTAACAGAATGGAGCAGCTCCCCCTTGAAGGAAGGTTAGCATGTTTAAGGTTTTTATGAAAGAATGCTGAGCAACAGAGGATGTGAGAGGGTTGTATAAAATTACACACTTGACTAAGGAGACTATGTCCTCAGTCCCTCACAATTATTTTGGTCAATTGTTGAAGCTAAAGGGCGGAAAAGTCAGGACTAATCAAAGGAAGAATTTCTGCACAGGATACACAATTAAACTATAGAATCTGTAACCACAAGGTATAGTGGTAGTTGCCAAATTGGGTGCCATCAATGGCTAAAAGGTAAAGGTTCCCCTTGACAATTTTTGTCCAGTCGTGTTCGACTCTAGGGGGCGGTGCTCATCCCCGTTTCCAAGCCATAGAGCCAGCGTTTGTCCAAAGACAATCTTCCGTGGTCACATGGCCAGTGCAACTTAGACACGGAACGCGGTTACCTTCCCACCGAGGTGGTCCCTATTTATCTACTTGCTTTTGCATGTTTTCGAACCGCTAGGTTGGCAGGAGCTGGGACAAGCGACGGGTGCTCACTCCGTTGCGTAGATTTGATCTTACGACTGCTTGGTCTTCTGACCCTGCAGCACAGGCTTCTGCGGTTTAGCCCACAGCGCCACCACGTCCCCATCAATGGCTACTAGTATATTATTCCTAAGATCAAAGTCAGTAGGTCTGTATTGTACTGGCTGTTCAGAAACATTAAAAGGAAGAGTGACTGCATGCATTCATGTTCTGCTTGTAACTGAATACAGGACTAGATGGGTTTTTGGTAAAATCCACCATGGCTCTCCTTCTGTTCATTATGAAGATGTAACACATTTAGGAAATAAATTATAGAGTAAAAACTCCAGTGTACAGCAAACATGTATTGGAAGTGTTCTTTATTCCAATACAAAATATGTGTCTTATTTTGCATGCATTTGAAAATGCTGTTGAAAAATTGTCATGTTACACAGATAAAGCACTTCAAATGCCCTTGCATTTAAAGTGTGCACTTCAAATGCATACCATTTCACAATGTAAGACATTAGGCTAGCAAAATAAATGGCATAAAGCTTTAAAAAAATAAAAAATTAAAGATAATTAATTATGAGATACTAAAAATAAATCACAATACTACTCTGAATCTAAAAGGTATACATACTGGCTGAAATTATGTTGTTTAGCATACTGTGTTGCACTAGAGTCTAGTGCAACATAGTCGGGATGAATGCCGAGCTTATCTGAAGGATCCATAGATTCAAATGGGCCTACTGTGAATTACAACTTTACCACAGTGAATCACAATGAGATCAGACCTATTTGAATCAACAGAACTTATGGAGGAGTTGATTCACTAAATCTGCACTGCAACAAGTAGCAGGATTTCAGCCATTATATGCAACTTATAAATAAGTGTCCTGCTTAAAAACACAGTTCCATGTTTGTAAAACATGTGATTTAACTAAGAGTATAAAAGTGATACAGCATCTAAGGTCAAAAAGGAAGTTAATTATGTCACAATGATGAGATATATAGTCAGAGAAATGTAAGATGGAGTCAGACAGGTTCTGTGTGAAGATGATTTGAGAGACATTGGAATGAGTTTTTCTAAATGCCATGAGAGTGTTTTTCTAGGGTCTGTTACAATGTGGTTTGAGATAACACTGAAGGCCGAACTGAGAGGTCCATGGAAAACTCAACATTCTGAGCTAATTGGAGAACAGATAAAACACCTGGGCTCTCATGGAAATAAAGGGACGAGGAAGGTGGTACAGCCTCTTGAGGCTAATTGGTTAACAGCCAGAATTGTCAAGAAGAAGGGAGGAGTTAGAGAAGAAAGTAGAAAATGGACGATGGGTTACATGGAAATGAATTCAATGATGCTGAATGGAGATTTGAGTGTTGTTCCGATCTGGGTTCGATTCCATGAAGGAGAGAGGGTGTAAGTAAGGACAGAGAAGCCCATTATAACCCACCTTAGTCAGCTTAGTAGTTTATTATTTTAATGGGAAATAGTTATTTTATTTAACTGCAGTGATCTTTGAATATGTTCTTTATGCTAAAGCTTGTGCAATATGAACTGATTCTAATGCAATTCTATTTTTCTAATAACAATTAAATACAAAAATTCTACAAAAGGACTGGTCTCTTGAACAGCCGGGTCTGCCTAAATCAAGGAAGTGGAGAGGGCCACAAACTAGCTATCTTTAAGAGTTCATGTGCCTGTACTTGTAAAGTACTGAGTAAGAGTAAAAATGTTCTTTTAAGGTCAGACTTATTCAAAGGGCTTACGCGAGGCGAGAGGTTCTCGCCGGAGTGTCATCCTCCCTCAAGATGAAACAGCGGGGAGTTGATACCCGGGAATTAGAGCCGGAACTGTCAAGGATGACAGTGGCCATTCAGACTGGGAGTGATTTGGTGGGAAGAGAAGAAAGAGGGAGGTCCGTCGTGGAGGCACGAATGGGAGATATAAAAGAGGAGGTGGACGTAATACTGGGGGGCTGGGAAATGATATGGATAGAGGACGCATGGACTGGGAAATGGGAGAAGGTGCAGGTCCCTAGGGAAGAAGCTGATTATAGACGGAGAAGAGGGCTGCCACAGCGTCCTTCCTACTGGGGTGAGTCGGAAGCCAGAGAGTGGAGCAGGCGGCTCAGGGAAGAGAAGGAGGCGGTAGAAAGGAAGGAAAAAGAATGTCAGTTATGGCATCTGGAGGAAGCACAGAGGAGGGGATACCTGAGGGACTGTGGGCCCCTCTTCGAGAGGAAGACCCTTACGGGTCGGAGAGCCAAGATGAAGGGACCACCCTGTTATTAAACCCTGAAACAGAGGCTGTGGAGATGGAAAGCAGTAACCCATTTTTGAAGGGACCTTGGAACGACTCAAACTGTAACCCCTTTAATAAAGATGTTTGGATGCCCTCACTGGACCTGTTGGCGACAAGAGAAAATG